CTCTATATATTTTCCAAAGGGCCTTTTTTTTTTTTCCCTTACCTCCTGTTCAGCACTTCCCAAATCCACTGTTTTCCCAGCCTCCCCTAGACTCTCAGCTTGTGTCTCTTTTTCCTTTGCTGCTTAAGTGCCAAACAAATCACAGGAAATCTAAGCTTGTGTCATTGACAGGAACGAGCCATAACCGATGACTTAGTTTACCAAATTGGAGACCAGTGTTGGTGCTTACCTAAACCGAGAATTGTAACTTGAACTATACATGTGCTAGAAAACCTAACTTAGTGTAGAGCTTTATTGTTAGCATTCAAATACTCAATAACCAGCTGGCCTTCCTGAAAGAAAGCAGGCCACAGGGGTTTTTTTACCAGAAGTTACATTTCTCAGTAGCAACAAATTCTCTCCTCTTTTTCCCTGAAGAGGAAAGTTGCTGTCTGCATGCAGCCTGTTTTGACTCAGAGGCAACTTGATTCTTCTTGAATTTGTATATCCAAGAGCACATATAACTTACCCTGGAATTTTACTTTGCTATTCCAACAGTAGAGTAAAATTAGTATAACGTAACAAAAATAAACTTTGTGTACTTCTTACTGTTTTCTTGCAAAAATTCAACATAATCTTATGATCATATTATAATTTATTCAGAGCAAGTGATACTGAATTGTATATTTGAAAGATAAATGGATAGAAGATGGTTGTAGACTTATTTTCTTTCCCATCGTTCCCAGGGCAAGAATACGATTGTAGGCAAGGTTGACCAAATGAGATTTTGAGCAGTGTGCAGAAGGGATATGATCAGAGGGTAAAAAAAAAATCAAAAAGCAAAAGAAGATTAATTTGTTTTCCTCTTTGCACTATTTCCTTGATGATATGTGAAGGTGATTTTGATAGAAGGACAAGATATAGTGGTGTAGCTTAATTTAACTTTAGACATTCTAGTTTCATTACTACATTTCTCTGCACTTGTACTAAAATGAATAGGTCCACCTTACAATGGAAATAAAGGAAACAAGTGCTTACAAAGACTGCCATAAACTACAGGAATACAACATTTCTATTAATAAACTTAGCTGAACTCAGTGTAAAAAACCTTCTTAGCAGATACATTTCGTATTTGGAGGACATAAATGGTAGTGCCTAAGGCTTGAGGAAAACCATAGCAAGAGCAACTTTGGTAAAGCAATGAAAACTTAGCATTTCTTGCAATCTAGAAATTAGAAATGTAGCAAGAAGAGAATGGAAGATGCAAATACTTTTACTGAACAAAAATTTTCCTGTGGCTGTACATTTTACAACCTGTATTTTGTCAGGTTGTCGGACTGTTCTTAATGAAAAAGAGCAGTTCCTGCCTGTAAAACCAGAATTTAACAATTTACTCATAATCATGCTACAGATGCATTAAGAATTTCTACTGGATAGTGGGTCAAACTAGTATATTGGAATGTAATATTTTTCTATGTACCGAAGAAAGATTTCCAAGTGTGAGACAAAAAAACCCCAACAATTAAAATTTAAAAAAAAATAATAGAGATGTTATCTTTTCTTTCTGCTTTGTTTTATAGCGAAGCTTCCTGGGCTGTACAACTTTTAGAGTAGGAGACTTGGTAAAGTCAAAGGAGCAACAGTTGACCCTTACCCTCAGGTAAGTGTTTTCCTCTATTGTAAGCCATGTTGAATTAATAACCCATGGCATTTGATGATTGCTGCTTGACTGTGTTTGAAACTCCATATTACTTCAGGTATATTAGATGTCAGCTTGAAGTTCTTCTATTTCTACTATGCACAAAGTCAAAATAAAATACCAATTCTTTAAGCTGGAGCTTGCCATGTGTCAGATTAGAAAAGGTTAGTAATTTTTTGGTATGATAACCCATGGAAGAATTGCAGGGAACTTGAAGTAGGGGATGTTCTTTCAAAGTTTCTTTTAGAAAGGAGCATGATGTTCTCCGTTTCATTTGCTGTGTGTGGTTTAACGAATTAACACTGTACAGTTTGCTGGTTTGATTACCAGGCATATTTAAAGATGGTGGACCCAATGACACAAGGCTGCTCTCGCGAAATTGGCTGCTGTCTCCCAAAACTCGTTGTTACATGCAGCCAAACTCAAATGGCAGTGAGGGGGTGCTGTACAACTCTAATTAGTGATGCAGGGTACAGAGCTACAGGAGAGTCAGAGCCAGTGTTCAAAAACTAGGGCTGGGCTGAACAGACATTTCTTAAAGCTGTGCACTGAAGACAAATACTCAGTTTTCACCCCTGATACTGATGTGGATGGCTTAAGATTAATCAAGATACAAATCAAAACTTTTTGAATGTTAAGGGAAACCTTTTAGGCGGTGTTTTTCAGAATGAAATCATTGGACTTTATTATAGGGATCTTGTTGAGCTGATTTTTGCAAGCACAGTGGAGGCTTATTTGGGATCACTGGGTAGGTACAGGTAAGCTTCACAGAGCAACTATCCAAAGTCACCATGTTTCTACATAGGCAAAGTTTTGGGAGGAAAGAAGCTGTGACTAGAAAAACTGAGACACTGGTATGTGTTCTGCCTGGCATATTGCACGTGGGTGCTGTAGAAAAGTTGTGTTACATTCTTTATTGTGTGCACATGAAGCCAGCCTTGATGCAGCCAAAGGTCCAAATTATGGCCCATTCAGCAATGTGGTACTGTCACTATGTCAAGGACACTGCATTTTTTTTTAAATGGAAACTTCTTGAAATATTTTGGTTTTATTACTGCACCTGCCTTCCTGTTATAACAACAGTAGCTGCATACGTGTGTGTAGTTTACAGGGCAAAGTTAACAAAATGCCTTGATTTTAATTTCTCCCAAACAGAAAATGCCATGCCTGACAAGCAGATAGCTTTGTTTCTAACAAGACTGACCAGATAAAATGTGAACTGACTAGTCTCTATGGAAATGTATGGCTAGATAAACAAATACCAACTTAGTGTTTATAAGAGTCTGTTCTTACAGAATTTCAAGTTGTCTGAAATTCTTTGGGACAAACTTTGCCTCTTGACATATTGAAAACTTGATCTGAAAGGTTGCCTCTGACATGTGCCATTATAATTGACAGAAAAAATTTCAGGAAACTTTGAAAAGAATAAGTATTTTGTATTTAACCCATCTAATATGTAAACAAAAAGTTCGGCGGGATAACTAATAAGCAATAGATGACAGACTGCCAGGTTAGTTTCAGCTGAACCTCTAGGCTTTTTCAGGTTTGCTTTTAATTAATATTTTTAGTCTTGTATGTCGTCTTTGTGCAGCTAATGCTAGAAGACAAATATTACACCGATTCAAATTAATTTGCAGATACATTAAATGGTAGGGTTTAGTTGGTTGTGGTTTTTTATTATTTTAAAGAAAACGATCCTAACCTTTTAAATGTGGGATTGTTTCCTGATTACAGCTGTTCAGCAGCACAAAATCAGTAGAAATTATCCATGTTTCTTCAATGGCAGTTTAACCAGAGCAGTCTAGTAATCTAAACTTGCTTTCCTCTAATTGCCCTATTATATTAGTACCTCTCAGGAGGATAGGGCATATACGAAAGCCCTTGTCAGAACAGCAGTTCTATTTAATTCTTGTTGATATACTTTGGATGGGAGTTTACCAGGGTGTGCCTGTGATCAAGCTACTCCTTTGTTAGATCTGAAGTAGACATTTAAAGATCCAGAAATAGCTCTGTGGTCTGCCCAGTAAATATTGGCATAATTATAGAATCTGGCTACTTATTCACTTTTTTTGTCTTGCCATCATCTTTCTGAGGTACAATGTAACAATATAAAAGTATTTTTAGAGGAATATTCTTGTATTTTTCTCAGTTATTTTCTGGAGGGCTAGCAAACATCTACAATTCCTTACTGTTGACAAACTGTGCTCTACTTTTTCCCTTTCCCCACCATTGTACATTAATAGTGATTAGGGGCACAAGCTACAAAACCTCTGCAAAAGAAGTTTTTATTCTGATTGTCTTCTCTTCTCTATAAAGGTGCCCTGAACTGATGGCTGAGTTTTTATTGTAGATGTGTGCACCTATATCTAATCATCAGAACCTGAACAGGTCAATTTGCAGAATTGCTTCGATGCTGACGATATGCACAACTGATGTTGGCAGAGGAATTTAGTTACTAGAGACTTGGGATTGCAGTCACAGGATTATGGCTGTGGTAGGTGGAGTGAGCACTGCAGTATGCAGTCATGTTGGACTGAATAGTTAGGGACAGACTGAAATTGCCAGCTTTGCTGCTGAAGCCTGCATCCTATGACACTGGATTCTAGATCTGGTTTAGAAATCACTCTTCAAATGCTTTGTCTCCTTTTCATTGGTCATATTCCAAATGCAGATGCTCTGTGGACAGATACCAGCCAATTGGTGCTCCTTGTCCCAGGCTGCTAAAAAAACAATCAGCAATTTTCCAACTCCATAAGCCAGCTGGAGTTTGAGCCATATATGTGCTGCTTCACATGGACACTTTTTTTTATTCTTATTGCTGTATTCCCCATCCTCACTGTCCCCATTCAGGTTTGTCAAGGTGCAATCCTTTGTCCTGTTGCGTCTGTAGTATCTCTTGTCTTGTGACTGTAAGCAATCTGGCGCAGGGGCAGTCTTCACTGCACCTTGTGAGCGCAGAGTGCACTTTTCAGCTTTATTGAACTACAGCAAATAAGCTGATTCTATCCTAATGCATTATGAAGTATCCTACAACTAATTAAATATTTTCCTCATGCTCTGTTGAATAATGTGTATGTGTGAGATTGTCTCTTCCTGTCTGTCCAGGCAAACGGCATGAAGTGTACACATATACGTGTGCGTGCGCAATACTGTTTCTGTTAGTGACAAGTAACAGAATATAGATTTTTTTTTTTTTTTTAAGTGTGATCGCTAGGATTTTTTTTTTTATTTTTCCCACTGCATCACTTCTGTTTCTCACTTTTAATTTTCTTTCAGGCAAAATTTTAATCTCATGACGTTGCTTGAAAGTTTTAAATGCATGACCTGTTTTTTGAAGACTCTTATGCACCAGTGGTATTTTAAAGTCACAGTGGCTGGCACAGCTAATGACAGTTTCTCCCTGGACATTTATAGAGCTCTTTGTTGATTTGCGTGCCTGTAGCATTCAAAAGAAACTTTGGGGTTTTTCTGGTTTTTAAATTGTGGTTTTGTATTTCCATGTGGAAAGATAAGAGAAATGGAAGAAGGAGTACAACTACAATGCAACAGTCCCACTGTTTAGTTTTATTCTGTTGCATTATGTTCTCTTGCAGATACTGTGTGTTTCAGATTGTAATATTACATATGTATTAGACCAGAGCAAGAATGATTTTGAGAAGAAAATAATTGAAAAATTTGATATAAAGTAAAATCAGATCAATCATATTTTTTAAATGTGTATGGAGAAAGCATGAAAATACCTATTGCTACTCATGCAGGCAAGCAGTGCAGTGCTTACAGCTGTACTGAGGCCAAGCCTCTACTAACAGCAGTGAGGGGGAATATTGAGTGTTCTAAAGAAAGGGAGACAAGGACTGAGTATGCGTGTCTGGCATTTTCATTTTTATTTTCTTTTATTCGAGCAACATGCCATGTTGGCTTGTATAAGTTCATTTGCAAATTGAGCTCCGTTTTGCTCAATGCTTGTTTATACTCCTAATTTACCCTGATGTAATTTTAAATCAGATCTGGTTTATGTAGGTCAGTCACAGACTTGCAGGTCTCTTTGGCTGTAGAAAAATGTGTTCCCTAAAAAAAGGATGGGTAAGATTTTAATTCTGGAAGTCAAATTAATGCAACGTTTTCCTTTCAGACCAGGATAACAGCGAAGTGCTGTTGCATATTTAAGTCAGCCTGGTAATGAGGTCGTCCACTTGGCACATTAAGCTTAACACATTAAGCTGCTGACAAATTTTCAGTCTTCTAGCCTCACATTTACTCTGATTTCTAAAGGTATATGTGATTTGCTAACATCTGTATTCCTTTTCTGCTTGGAAATCCTGTAGTCCATTTGTTGAGGTAGCCTAGTTTGCCTGCTGGTTTGACACAGGAGGGAGAAAACAAATGAAGTCAAACCACTAAGCTGTAGCAACTCAGGGAAATGTTCCTCATTCAGAAGACACTTAAGTTGTTCTAATGCATTTCAAAATTATTATGGTTTTTTGCTCATAAACACCCTTTGGACATTGAACCTTTCTTCCTCATTCCTTTTCTTTTGTATACTTTGTTAATTAACGTAGGCTTCTTTGGTTGCAAGGCTGTCTGGAATTGGTTCATTTTTGATTGTTCCTTTATTTTATTCTCAGTAATGAATTTGGCTTGGAGCAAATGTAGTAGTGGCACATGTAAAATATGAAGAATTATGTGTATTTTGCAAGGTTATATATAAGAACATATTTAATTTGTATAGTTGCAAGATGAGTGTATTCTACTGAGTCGCATATTAAAGCACAATGGTTTGCAACCAAAATAATTATTTAAATTTGAAGCTTGGGGTAGCCATTTTTTGAGACGTTACTCTAAAAAAAAAATTGAAGTTTTGACTTAGCATGGTAAGTAAGTATCCATGCCTAAAGAGACTAATCTGTGTGCTTAACTTGAGTCAGTGTAAAGAGCTGGAATGTTCTGGCTTAATTAAGGCCTTATACTGCATGCAGAAATACAGATTATGTAAAATTGTGGGAGCCCAATGCAGAAACAGGGTCCTCCCGCCTGGAGTGTGAGCAAGCACCCTGGGAAAGCCTGCGCATGGCCGAAGGCTGCACGGCAAAGCTGAGCTGGGCCTGCCCTGCCTGAGAGCAGGGGACGATGCCTGTCAGCGCGGTGCTGCTCGGGGGCTCTCGGCACCTGAGAGGCAGGAGGGATGG